AAACATAAAGAGAAATGTTAATTTCCGAAAACATGTTTCATGATTGTAGTCACCAATTAGATTAAAGGCTCAGATCTCCACCGACCAGCCACTTTAGATTCGTTGTAATGCTAGTCCCAGAGTCTAAGACTAGCGACAAGACTAGGCAAATTGTCGGAATTAAAATCATGTTTCCACTGCGTACGCAAGGCTCTATTTTCTTGGCACTCAAATACAGATATTCACGAGAAAATATAATGAGCTTTACAATAAACAAGGAAGAATTTGATATAGGTGAGTGAGGAGATCAACTGGAATTCGATGTGACAAATGATCATTGTTTCCGAAGCTCGCAATGCAGCGAACGGTGACGCTCTTAAATTTATGGTTCAACATATTCGTCAAAAACGTGCCTTGCGCCTTGTCTCAAAAAACAGCTGGAAATCTCTTTGCAACGCCAATTTATTTCCACGCTTTCGTAAGGGGATGAATTGTCTATGAGCTACCGAGCAGTTAACAATCAGTTAACAATTCAATAACTACGCTGTACAGAATGATTTTCACGATAAGCAATACACAAAACAAAAAATAGCGGTCTCTTTACGGCATTCGCACGCTTAAAGTAGCTTTTCAATAATATTTACAATTAGAACGATTATCCTACGAGACACTAAGCAAAATTAGGAACAGTTTACGATCAGTCAATACGATTAAATTAAGATGAACCAAAGATCTTGAGTCACGAACCAAGATATCCAAAGCAGGCCAAAACTTTCGAATCGTGTACTGGAGAACTCATTTCATATCCAGTTCATACAATTCTAGTTCTATGTTATTTGTGGTCTGGAAATCCAGGTAGAGCAAAAGATCTTCGGATGAACCAAGCAAAGTCAGTTCTAGTCAGCACCATATTTTTCCGTACCTCGAATGATGCTCTTAGCCTCTGTCACAGCCGGGCAGTCACCATACCTTATCGTTTTCTTAACCATACATCAATTAAACTTAAGAAAAACGTAGAGATTTAGGAGAATTTTACCACAAAACCCGTACACGCGGAACAAATGCGAATTTTTTCCAGCTCAGCCTCTGCGTCCTCGATCATTTGTCCGATTTTTTCTTTTCCTCAAGCGCTTCCCTCCTTTTTTCGGTTGTCCTTTGCTGGATCCGCCTTTTGGCCGTCGCTGGACTACGGGCTGCGAGTGACTGAGGTTGGTGCGAGGAATAACATTATTTTGACTTGCACAGACGGGGCAGCACGAGCCCTGGGGATGAACTGTACGCGGACACGATAATTCTGGACACGGCAGGCGGTGGCACGACAGTAAGCCATCCTGCAACGAATGATCGAGCTTAAGCAAATCTTGGTAAGGTAATAGTGTGAGGAAACCTAGTTTATAATAAATATACAAAACCAGTATGTTAGAAGTTTATAAGTTTTACTGCGTTGTACTTCTTGAAAGTTGAGAAGTGATGATAGAAAGGAACTCAAATATTTATCAGTCATGCAATGCATCCTCCCATGGAACGAAAAGTAAGCTAAAGAACTGCGAACCTGCTGAATTTTCAGGCAAAGTGTGAGCAATAATTCATTGTGAAACATCTTAATGGTTGTTTTATCTTATAACAACAAATTCTTAAAAGACGATAATTACCTTACAAGCGCACTTGATGCACTTATGAATGCCAGCGGGTGGGATCCGTGGGTGCCATTCATCGCCGTTTGCTCGGACGTTGCCCTGGAAAAATTGCATCAATAACATACAATATTGCTAATGAATAGTGACAGTCAACTTCATGACTTATACAAATCTAGAGGCTCAATTTCATAGATAATAAATCTTTAAGCAGAAATCTTGAGGCAATGAGAGGTGGCTCAGTGGTTAAAGTTCAGAGTACCAAGATTGGAACAAAGAGGTGCGGGTTCGATCCCAGCTCTGTGCGCCAGTTTCTGGTCAGAATCGGCGAGGAGGCCGGGCGTTAATCAAGAAAATTTGAAGCAGTGAGTTGCAAGTTCAAGCCCGCAACAAGCTGTGGATTTTCTGCAATGTTAAGAAGCGGCGACAAGCCTACGGCCTACTAAAAGCGGACACCGCTATATTAAGATCAAAACGTGGACCCAAAATTGTCTCCACTTTCTACTGCGGATTGACTGAGCATCGTTAGTATCGGAATGTTTGAATGATAACCAAAAAACATACGACGTTATATGCAAATGAGAATTTCAGCTAAGACTCTCGTTTATTTCTAAATTAGACTCCCGTTTCGCTCACTTTCACGGAACAGCCACCTTCGCTGAGCAGCTGCGCACGTCGCTCTTCCTCGCGGTTGATCCTGCTGTCGTCGCTCGGCAGACCCGAGGCGGACGAGACCGAAATCGTCCGCACAGGACACGTCTTGCAGCAGCTCCCGGGCGCCAGGATCGCTTCTGATGGCGGGCATGGCAGCGAAGGGCAGTCCATGCGCGAGCACTTCAGGAGAGGGCGATGGTCGTCACCCAACTGAGAGACAAATAAGTGAGAAATTGGTACTGACGAATGTGACCGTAGCTCTGTTAAGCATTATTGTCTTAAATTTAACATTCATCTTAATAAGTGAATCTTTTAGCACATCAGCAAGTTTTGTTCGAGCAAACTATGTCCTTCCAAATGTGAGTCACCATAAGGAATGTTCATTTATCGCATTTCGGGAATATTAACAATATAGTTGTTATAAAGGTAAACTGCATTGGTGCAGGGTGGCCAAGTAATCGCAGTTCAGAGTAACAAGATTAGAGCAATGAGCTGTGGGTTCAATCCCAGCTACCTGCAGAAGTTCTGGTCACATCGGTAAGGAGGCTGGGCGGTTAGGCAACGTAAAATTAAAGTAGTGAGTTGCGTGTTTGAGACCGCAACAAGAACAAGTTAATGTTTTGCAATGTTTAGGTGAATCGGCCTGATCAAAGCTGTAACCGCTATAATACTGCTAAGTATTAAGTATATATTAAGTAAGTATTTTATTAAGTGATATTGACTCACATTGCAAGAGCAGGTGACACACTTGTCAAAGCCGTTCGGTGGGAGGAAAGGATGCCACTGGGACCCCACGGGGTGCGTCTGGTTGTTGAAGTGACAGCCTGGTCCGCGGAAGCGCCGCTCTTCTTCATTGGCTGTACGAAATGTTTTTTTACAGTTTTACATTCAAGAAAAATAATCATCAGGCTCGTAAAATTTCCTTGAAAACAATGAGCTTTTCGGAGGGAGTTGACCTAATTGTGTGTTGAATACACTTGTATAACCTATCAAATCAATTAGTAATGTATTTATTATAAGATATCCATCTTGAATGAAATAAAGTGTTCTGATTTTGAACAAGAATTGAACCAAACAATTTCTTTATCTATAAAGAGCTTAAAAAACAGGAACAAGTTAAGCCATAACGAATAAAATAACATTGCCTAGTATCCAACAAATATCTATAACATGTCACTCATCTAGTGCTTAAGTAAAATTGAACTGCTAATACTTAAGGCCAGTTGGCGCTATCGACATTGCGAACCGGCTCTCTGTGATTGCGAACCGGCTCTTTGTCATACTCAGGGACATTTTGAGCACAGGTTCGTCCAATCTACAAGTATAAACCAAACAATAAGCATTAAAATAATATAAAGATATTTTTATTTAATATAATTCCGGTCAAATTATGAGTGGAAAATTAAATCACATGTATTTCTCGAGGCAGTGTTTGATAAACTGTAAGTTTTAGTCTCACCAGGACACATGTCGCAACACTGCCCCGGCAATCGCTGTTTAGGAGCAGCGCAGTTCACGCCAGGACACACTTCAGAGATGCACGTGATGGAACCTCGCGTGCACATGCATTGTTCGCACCGTGACCACGACGACCTCCAGCTGGCACCGTCCTCGTATACTCGCTTTTCTGAGAGCAAATTAATTCCAATTATTTTTGTACGGAAATCCACTTCTACCATCATTCTACATGAGGAAGCATACGATCTTCACGGTTGTTTGAATGCATTTAGATTCAACAACAATCCATGTTCAGATATAACTTTTGGGTTGACGACTTCTGAGGCAACAGAGAGTAAATTTTTAACTTAATTTTTTGTCTTACTAACATTTTGGTGCGCGTTAACACTTTACAGCCCTCTATCATTTTTTTAATATGTTCTTTCGAACTTTGGGAGTTATAAATATTCCCACACTTTCACAGCCCTCATATTCTTAGAAAATAATAGTTGATTTGAACTGTACGCAAAATGTAAATCATGTAAGGCATTCCAGTCAGTCATACATCATTTCACCAGGTTGTTTTCAAACTTAAGATAATTGTAAGGTAAGTGCTGTTTAGCTGTCATAACTCTCACCATCATCAATGCATTTCGTTCTCCTCGGTTGGTCTTCATCGTCGGTGTTGAGGCACTCGAAACTCTCACCTACATCAAAACTCTCACCTACATCGAAGCTCTCACCTACATCGAAACTCTCACCTACATCGAAACTCTCACCTACATCGATACTCTCACCTACATCGAAAATCTCACCTACATCGAAACTCTCACCTACATCGAAACTCTCACCTACATCGAAAATCTCACCTACATCGAAACTCTAACCTACATCGAAACTCTCACCTACATCGAAACTCTCACCTACATCGAAACTCTCACCTACATCGAAACTCTCACCTACATCGAAACTCTCACCTACATCAAAACTCTCACCTACATACAAACTCTCACTAAAATTAAATTTATGAAATCTCACCATCATCAATACATTTCGTTCTCCTCGGTCGGTCTTCGTCGTCGGTGTTGAGACACTCGAAACCACAGCCCGGTCTCTCGCGCGGCTTCTCAGCGTCAGCGTTGTCCAGTAAGCACGAGGCTGGGACTGACATCGCATTCAGTCTGAAATATCATAAATGAAAATCAATTGAAACTCGAATATGGTCGTTCATGCATACCATTTTATGAGTTCCGTCATCATGTCTCAGAAATACAGAGAACTATTTTCACCATGGCCTTGCTATTCTAATACAATTGAAAAACTTAGTTCATCCTAAAGTATCAATGTTTAAACGGTTGATCAATTCGACAGAAAATTAAAAAAAAATAAATTTTAAAATTTTTGAATCGGATACATCAAGTCCTTGGGGCTTACGCTTTTCTACAGCAAACTGCATTGAAACTTTTAAAAGCCATTATATTCATTTTTTTATTTTTGTGTACGATTTGAAACCCCATACAGCATCAACCGTGATGCCAGCAAATTCCTTGTGACCATTTACTAAATTAAAAAGAATATTCACACGCCCATCATCTAAGAGATATAGCAAGACTCAATTCCCTTCTCACCTTCCGGACAAGAGAGTTGCACCAGAAATCTTATTTTCTACAGCAGCGTCGAGGGAAGTAAAAAGAAGCATCTCGAGGAACGAGACTCTGCCCACATGGAGGCGAGACAAGGACGCCTGTGACAGGATGGTGGAGTGGTCGGCAACCTCGGAATTATCGACAGCTTCCTCCAGTACGATTCGCTGTTCGATCAGTCGAGGGTCGTAAAGTTCGTCTCGTTCTTGCAATACCAACTGCCATGAAGGTCGGGGGGAGGGACCTGCGGGACCAAATAATTCCATCAAAATTCAGTTACCGACGTGAATAATTTGTGCTGCATTTAAATCTTTTTCCGTATGTTCTTCTCTCATGTTATAAATTCATCAGACCGCGGCCAGATCACACCTGCGAGTTGCACATGATAGTGCATGACGCATTCCTCGTCCACGGCGACCCAGGCAATCGCGGCCCACTGCACCCCAAGAGACCGCACCAGTGTCGGCTGACTGGACCGCACAGCGTCGGTCATCGCTTGTACCTCCAAGTTGCCTTCGAGTGTAGCGGTCTCGCCTACGACTGAAACCTGCAGTCTGCCTCGCATCAGGGCATCCAAGTCTCCGTACGTCGGCCTGAACACATAAAGATCCAGATGAAGTGACAATCAATACATAATTAAGGGCATCCGAGTCTTCGTACGTCGGCCTGAACACATAATGATTCACATGAAGTGATAATCAATACATAATTAAGGTTGAGTGAGATTATTTTATGACCTATGTAGAATAAGAATCAATTTAATAAGAATACCGCATAAATACTCATTTAAAAGCCAAAACAAACGATGGTGATCTCGAACATAGGAATATACTAGAAAAACATAATAGGAATTCCAAATATTTGGTGGAATTTAATTAAATTTCCACAACACCAATATGTGAAGGTTTGAGTCTTTGGATATAGTTTGAATAGTAAAAAAAATTGATTTTTTATATTCCTCTGGCGTAGTCCGGATTTCGTTTCACCCAATGAGAATTGCATAATTCTATAATTTTTCATTTTCTTTTTTACAAAATAAAAATATGCTGACCTGACATATGTGCCATTATTACTGAAGGAACTTCCGTACTAAGATCACATTATTTCTTGAATCGCAAATTACAAGGAATTTCAAAACAAAGAAGGTGGCGTAAAAATTAATCGTATCTTAGTACAGGAAAATGTTTTCATTGCAAAATCTATGGTAAATTTTTGAGCCATCATCTTTGTTTTTATATTCCATAGGAACTCCTGTTGCCGGGCGTTATTCGTGTACGTTGTTACAGATATTCTATTATTGGTGCAGCAAGCGCTGATTATTTTCCAAATCATAAAATTGTTTGATGACACTGATAGCGATAATGTCGATTGAGTCTCTGGTACAACAAATTTTCGAGCAGGATAATTAATTTTGATACAAATTTTATAATTAATTTTTTTATTTTAAATACTTTTAATGTTTTAATTAATTAATTAAGAAACAATAATTGATTTCGAATGTTATGATGACCGGAATACAACTCTGGATCATATTATTGAGATATTTCAAGCAAGATGGCGATGCGTGACACGAAATATACTACTGCTGAGCGGTAATCTCAGCTATTATGAAGTGTAACAATAATGCCTATGCATCACGATACAAATACGCAATTTATGATTTAAATTAAATAAAATAAGATTAAATATTCTAGACGAAATGCCAATAATTCCTTATGAAAAAACTGCTTCTTGAATATACCTGAACTTGATACTTGAAAAAACCCTCGTCCGTGAGAGAAAGCACGGCCCAGCCAGCACCGAATCTCTCTCCTTCAGCAACGTTTTCAGACTTGGCGGTGGTGAGGACGGTCGAGAAAACGTTGCAGGTTGCCCGCGCTGCCACGGTGCCCGATATAGCGAGTTCCGGAGACGACTCTGCCCAGAGTCTGAAAACAGAGAAACTTATTTAAGTCTCAATTTATCGCATGAAATATTTGCCTGGAATCAGAGTACCTATAGGAGAAACTTATTGAGATCTCAATTTATCACATGAAATATTTGTCTGGAATCAGGGTATCGGAGAAATTTATTGAGATCTCAATTTATCGCATGAAATATTTGCCTGGAATCAGAGTATAGGAGAAACTTATTTAAGTCTCAATTTATCGCATGAAATATTTGCCTGGAATCAGAGTATAGGAGAATCTTATTGAGATCTCAATTTATCGCATGAAATATTTGTCTGGAATCAGAGTATAGGAGAAACTTATTTAAGTCTCAATTTATCGCATGAAATATTTGTCTAGAATCAGAGTATAGGAGAAATTTATTGAGATCTCAATTTATCGCAGGAAATATTGGTCTGGAATCGGTCCATCGGAGCATTAAAATTGAATCGAATTGAATTCGATTTGATACACGGTAAATGGTATTGGCTCAACACAAGAACATAGATCAAAATTTTGCGAATTAAGCCAATATCCTTGTAATTTATTCAACAAAATTTCACAGATAGAAGAATTCGAAAAATATTTCTTCTTTAATTCTAAGAGAACAACTGAATTATGTGAACATAATTTAATTTAACTTAGCACTGAAATTGTACACTTAATGTAACATACACAAAAAAAAAATCCTCTCACTTGATATGAACTTTGCCTCGGGTGAGTTGCGGAAGACTGGTTTCGCCAAGTGTGGTCAAAATCTCTGCTGTATTGATTTCTGTGTAGACTTTTTCCAGCACGAAGGTTTCGATGACGGCCGGTAGGCCCCGTGAAGGAGTTAACTGCAGCTTCATAGATACGTTGTAGTCAACCCCAGGAGGGAAAATACCGTTAAATATGAGGCTGATGTGTAGACTCTCAGACTTCGAGTCTACCGACACCATCGCCGTACCGCCCCCAGGGAGTCCAGGGCTGCTAGAGCCGCTCAAAGATGACTGAAATTGGAAAAGTATCAAGACGAAATTATTACGTGGCAATTGTTTTCAACTTTGATATCAAGTTCAGGCAGAATGAAGTACACAAGAGCGTCGTTGATGATACATAATTCATTGAAATTTGTTGTTTAATAACTGGTTATACTTCCAGTTATGTCACTAATTACCACTTCCCAATAAAGTCGTTTATTGAGGAAGTTTTAGTTAATTTTCATGCACTCATTTTTTGTACGTCGTTCCGTCTTTCAATTCACTCAATGCATTTCGAGGAATTAAAATTATAGCAATTTATGCTCATTCTGAATAATGATAAATTACGAAACTAAAAATTAGTAAGACAACAATCTTATCTTACCAGTTTTGCGATATTGAAGGCGTAAATGAATTAATTGTAGCAACCAATTTAATTTTTTTTCATTTAAACTATTATGAAAATCTAAATTTTTTCCATTTAAACTATTATGAAAATCTCAATGCAAGATCATTCTCTAGAACTATGAACTAGGATATTCATATTGTTGAGATCTTCAGTTTGGGAAAAACAATAGCAAAATCCAGACATCAGAGATAAAACAGCCAGTACATTGACGAAAATATAAATATTTAGCTCAACATAAAGGCTCACAGGGTCATCGTGTGTCATAAGCGAAGTGAAGACCTCAGTGTCGGCACCCACGTAGCGCGCGACGCGCCCGCTCACAACATCCGCACCTGTGGACTCCGGAGGGACCAGCGCTACGTAAACGTCCTCGCTCCGCAGCAACTGCCTGCACAAATTCAATTTGTTTTCACCACTTGCGGAAACTATCTTTGTCTACCGACGATTTAACAGGAATCTCGATACGAATTACATTGAGAACGGTTAATGTGTCCGTATACACATGTTTTACTTAGTATCTATCTGCAAACGGCTAGTGGAGTTACCGCTACATAATAATATTGAGAACAGTTAATGTATCAACAGACTAAAAATTTAAATGCCACTGACAGCATTTAAGCCAAATGAAGTCACTGCATTTGCAGATATAAAATTTTTTGATGCATGCCCCATGAGTAAATAGACAAAATTAAATATGCAAGCAAGAAAAAATCTCATTTCCACATTGCGTTTACATACAAAGTTAATATGAATCAATTACTAGAGTCATGAGAATACAAGGATTATTTTTCCGTCCAGTCTTAAAAAAATGAAAGAAAAAATGATCTTACATAGTTTTCCTAACAAATTATCAAAAGATGCGCTATAAATAAAAAATAGGAACACATTAAATAGCAAATACAAACAAATTAAATGAAAGAAAGAAAGAAAGAAATAACTCGCCCAACGAAAAAAAAAAACAAAAGGACACAGAAAACATACACGCGCACACAAGCCCCAACCCCAAAAATATCCAACGCAAATCAAGAGAAACAAAGTTTGCAGGAACTCAATCAAGTTAGACGAACCTTATAATACATACATTTTATACAAATATTATTATTAAATGGTTACCTGTATTCCCTTGGCACTCTAGTCCACGTGCCACACACTCGGTTGCTGTTCACGTCGAATGGAGTAGCCTGCGCCTCGAGAATTTCTAGAATGTCGCCTTCCCTGTTCAGGAAATGCAGGTTCTCGGGCTGCGGCATCTCAGGCGACAGCAGAAACGAGAAGTGCAGCGTTGACCGTTTCAGGGACAAACGTCCTGTCGCCACGTAAGCCGACGTCACGGGCGACTGGGACGTGCGTCCGTTTAGCAGCACCACAAAGTCTGAACAAGTGATGAAACTTTAAGGACTGGGTGAGAATTTAAGAAAAATGGGAGCACCACAAAGTCCGAGCACGTGAATAAGTAATGAAACTTTTGGGACTGGGTGAGTCTTTGAGAGCAATGGGAGCACCACAAAGTGTGAACAAGTGATGAAACTTTCAGGACTTGGTGAGTCTTTAAGAGCAATGGGAGCACCATAAAGTCTGAGCAAGTGAAAAGGAAACTTTCAGGACTTGGTGAGACTTTGAGAGCAATGGGAGCACCACAAAGTCTGAGCAAGTGAATAATGGAACTTTCGGGACTGGGTGAGAATTTAAGAGCAATTGGAGCACCACAAAGTCTGAGCAAGTGAGTAAGTGAGGAAACTTTCGGGACTTGGTGAGACTTTGAGGGTAATGTGACCAACCACAAATCCAATGGAAAGTTATCATGTTTGCTGTCACTTTCTCTCTGATGTTGATAAAATTCAAATTCCGACAAAATTTTCGTGGATTTTTACTATGAGTGAAGTCAAACTGCTTCAGGCGCCTACAATTGGATGTAAATAATTTCCGTTATTTTTTTTTTTTTAATTTCGAAATTATTGGCTTTATGAATTTACTGCAAAGAAGGACTATAACGCAGCTTCACGTAAGCCAGTCCAAGATACTAGTCTATATTTATGAATGCTCAGTCAATGATAATGCACATAGGCCAATACAGCAATCAAAAAATGGTAGGTAAATAAGAAGAATTATCGCGGCTCAGACGCACACGGTCAGTCCAGTCCCATTTTATTTCAGTGAATTGAAAAAAAAAATTAACAACGGAATCACTAAAAATGCCGTCAAAGGAACGAGTTCTAGAAATTGAAGACAATTTCGAGACGTGCCGCTTAAAATTGACCACAGAAGCGAACATTTGGTCTCATATTTACTAGTAGAACAGCCCGGCGTTGCCCAGGCTTCATAACTCCTGGAATTTTTGGAATCCCTTTTTCGAACATCCAATAATCCAAATCCCGATAATAATAATACAACTTATTTATTTTTATCCAATCGAATACCGAAATATAATTGAATATATAACTCAATTAAGTAATCACAATATAACTGAAGTTCTAACCGTTGCCAGTTTGTGTCTCAGCGACATCCCTCTGCAGCTGTGGTGGCAGCACCCCGGCCTCCTCAGGGCAGGTCTTGCAGCATTGGCCCGGCAGCAGCACAGGGTTCCAGCAGTTCGCCTCTGGACAAGAGTTCTTGATGTTAACGCAACTCACGCGCGCCACGCGTCGACGCTTCTTTTGAACCTGCGAATAGAACAACAAAGTTTCGTTAGTACATATTATTGTATACATTGGGTATTATTTTAATGGTTGTTACTACTTTGTGCTAATAACGTCCACCGATGCTCTAAAGGACCTGTGAATGAGGTCTCGAGTAGGGATTTTAATTTAAATTTGGACGTCATTGGAATGCCTGACACTTCATTACCCAACTAATTAATGCATGTTACGTCAGCACGTTGAGACAATGACGTCATGTGAGCGTTGCCTGTTCTAATTCCAGGTTTGACTTGTATGAAGCCTACTTTGCGTTTAAGTGTTTCTCGTCGATTTAAATCGTGGGCAGATTTACTAATGCACATTGCGTGAGTGTGCAACAAGAATTAATAAACATTTTTAACTGCCTATGAGTGAGTTATTCATGAGCAGGAAGGCTTAAAAAATCCAACTGCCTTGACAACAAGAAACTTCAACGAAACGATAAATTGGAGGACTTCTGATGAGATAAGATTCGCTAAGAGTTGCATGCAAGCAGCGACTTGCCCAGGCAGACATGAAACTGCTAATGCCAAAACAAATCAAGCGACATCAGGGACAGGCATAATTGTTTGTCCGCATAATTATACGGCAGATAAACCTGTCTCCGGAAAATTATTGTTCAGCGCTGAGTCTTGGCACACGAGGTCGCACGACTGCAAGCGCCGGAACAAATGATAGCTAGCTTAGTATACAGGCTTACCTACATTTTGTTCTAGGTTTAAATAAAAGTTACAGCTTGCTAGTGAAGTTAGCAAGCAGATTTTTACGAAGGTACTATTGACAAATATTTTCGCGGGGGAAAAATTATGAATCGAAATATTTTCGTATACTTACAACAATTGACAAATTCATTATAATCAGTTTGGTTTGGAAAATTATCAAGAGAATATCGTTAACATACAATTTTTTTTAATCTAGATGTGGAGAAATATTTATTGCAGCGAACGGTTAATAATTATACGTTAGAGCAGAATATTTTGTTATGCTGGAGGTAAGAAACTCAAAAATGCCCATATATAATGACTCAAGGATGCAAGACATAAATAAGAAATCTGCAATCAAAAGTTCAGAACTTGGTCCTTAATAACACAAATTTTTCGTTCCCAAAAGTAATACAAACTTTATATAGAGGCCAATGCAGGCAGCTAAACTGCACATCGAGCATTCCGTAGTCAAAGACAGGATAATTGCGGTGTCAAAAATAAATGAGGCTACCTGAAAATCAAAGGTGTTTCCTTGAACCGTGAAAGTTATTATCCCCCGAAGCGATTAAGAATGAGCAATGAACATTAGGGTACACAAGCACGAACAGTTTAATTAGTGGCCTAATGTCACGATATATTTTATTACTTGACTGGTTACCTTTCAGGAAGAGCAATGAACATTAAGGGTACACAACCACGAACAGTTTAATTAGTGGCCTAATGTCACGATATATTTTATTACTTGACTGGTTACCTTTCAGGAGTCAATTTAAGCGTCGTCCTGAGCGTTACAGAAACAGTAGAGTAGTTAGTCTGTAGTCTTCAAAACAGTAGAGAAGTTGCACGAAGCAGCAGCGCAGTGCACAACACCACTTCACTACACAGCAGTGCACAGCACTACTGCACTACACAGCAGTGCACAGCACTACTGCACTACATAGCAGTGCACATCACTACTGCACTACACAGCAGTGCACAGCACTACTGCACTATACAGCAGTGCACAGCACCACTGCACCACAGCAGTGCACAGCACTACTGCACTACACAGCACTACACCACTNCAGAGGCATACTATCAGCCCACTCAAGTCTCCAGCATCGCGGCTCAGACACATACGGTCTGCCCACTCAAGTCTCCAGCATCGCGGCATACGATCAGCCCACAGAATAATTTTACGCCGCAGAAGTCTAAATGTTAAATATATCGAAATATATCTGCTTTTAATGCAATTTTTACAAACTATGAAACCAGTTTGAATTTAGACACTACACTTTCAATGAATTAACAAACACGAATTCACAGCGTCAACAAACGAATAATTGTTCGCAAAACAGATGGATATAAAACGGGATTTGCAGAATGAAAATTATCTATAGGAGCTAACCTCAATCAACGAGTGTCATTGTTATCACCCAGAAATTGGTTTTATGTTTATGGCGTGGACGACATCTTCAGGTCAATCTGAACATAAATTAAACCAGATACTTGTTTGAAATTATCTGTATCGTGACTGGAAGAATACGCTTCCTGATGGAGCTTGCTATCTTGCCCGTACGATATCAACTAAAATCACACACGCGTTCATTAAAAGTTGACATAGTGGAACAAAATTCATATTTATTATGATATCGCCAATTGAATCTCGTTCATACCTGCAATAAAAGTTGATAACCACAAGGGTAATCAGAAGAAGCAATTTGCAAGTTGAATACGAAGTTAATATGTTCCTTAATAAAAGTAGAATGCTGGACAAAAATGACAGCGCATGCATTGAAGTTGGCCAAGACTTCCCACATCAACGAGGGTTGAATACAAGAGGGGAAAATACAATTTTTCAATAGAATCCTACAATACTTTGTTAAATTATATAAAAACCCACACACAGCGGCGGTCTAGAGTGCCAATGAGTTTAATTTTAAGTATTTCAAAGATGTTGTATCGATTCAGTCACTCGCTTAATCCATGCTGGAGCAAAATTGAGAGTACCTGTCTATTTTGAGTGAATCGCTCAGGGATCTAGTCTTGGCAACACATGATTTGGCAATCTATAAGCACCCACAAATTACCGGCTATCAAAACAGAACTCAAATATTAGCTAAAGCAGCAGTCGGCTGGTGGGTTCAGAGAACAATAACAACCCAATTTAAGTGTACGAGCAACGAAAACCGACGTGCGTAAATATACACCAAGATGTTCAATATATCAATAGACTCAACACGTTTGCTTATGAAATGCAGTGCAATGCGTAAGCAGAATTTGAAAGAAGTAACCAATTCCATGAAATAACTTCGTGGATGCATATAGAGCACAACATATTCAGCGATGCAGGGAAAAGACCAGGGGCCATACTTTCAAAATTCGCTAAGTGAACGTAAGTACTTACGCTCTATTTTCTTGTCCATGATTGGTGAATTTTGCTTGAGGCCGTCAATGATTGGCTGTTGAACTTACGATCTCTTAACTTTTCTTGAAAGTATAGGCCCTGTGCTATATAATGAATGAAAATTTGTGTAGCCAATTTTCTCACAACGAAAAAAATGCAAAACAGCCAAATTCTTTTCAGTGTTTAAGTATTATAGTTTATTGACAACGGTTATTAAAATCATAGGAAAGATAAGTAGTTAATAAGGCGATGATTAAAAAAAAGATCTTAGAAGAATATCCATCTTCAGTACAAAACTAAAGGTTTCCTTGTTTTTGGTACCAAATCACTTTGGTTTTGCAAATCATTTTTTTAATGAGTCAGTTAAGTACATTGATGAACGTCAACCTTAAGCTTAATGATTGCAATGTAACTTAACTGGTGCAAAAATACTTATAACCCTGCGTTAGTATACCTAGCAATCATAGCGAATAAAACATCCATAAGCTAAGCGTTTATGAAGTATGGAATAATAGTATAAATGCACGAGCGAACTTTTTCTTGTTTGATAAAAAAAAACATAATTGCAGGTGTATATATATTCTCTATAGCGAAGCCTACATAAGAGATGAAAGCATGCCGACGATTGAATGATTCTAGTGCGACTTGAAAAATTACGGACGTATTATCGGCGGCCAGACAACGGGAAATGGGCGGCCACTCAAAATTCGTTGATGATTTCTAATGCACCACGGACAGGTTTTTCAAAAGCAACCTTCTCCCCATCCCTCAGCAATAAAAATATTACTTTATGCATATTCTTAAGCTGGAATTTAAATTGGTACAATCTGAATAAGAAATGAAACCAAACCCTCAGAACTATCATCTGGCTAATGAGAATTGTTTCACGTTCATTCAATGCTTGCAAGGTCAACTATAACATAAAATTCTAAATTTTGCATTATATTTCAGAATTCAAATTTTGATATCTAAATCTAATTTCATCGTCAATTTTAGCAATGATTGCATATAAGTCGCATTTTATATGCGATCTTGGATAAATTATCAAGCAACCGAATAATTACAACTTTTCCACTTAAATCATTCAGCGAACGAATAACGTGTCTCGCACAATTACGACGGCAGAAAAAATAAAATGCCCATGTAGAAATAATTCATGTGAAAGTGTAGCCGATAACGGGATCTTAGGGTAAACTCTGACCAATATAATCACACGCAATTTGGGAAAGTGTAAGAATTGATGAGGATGCATATGCAAAATTAAAAAGTTAGTTTTGTACCTTGTAGCCACAAGAAGAAAGATTTCGCTCCAAATGAACAAAATGTCAAAAAAATACGAGTTAAAAATTTGACGCAACACATGTAAACTTATATAATGAGGCCCAAGTATCGTTCGCTGAGGATATTAGAAAGGAGTAAAACTGTTTAAATGAATTTTTGTATGCAGCAGGATATTTTTCCAATATTAAAAAGAGTTATTTAAAGTATAAACGGGAACCTGGGTATGAACTACAGCCGAAATAATATGGTAATGTAAACACAATTTTAGCTCGTTAAATTTCAACGAGCACAACGTCCTTTCATAACCTAATTTTTCCACCTCCGAAACATGCATTGGTTATGAGAAGGGGAGGGGGATCGCTCAGCATAAGCCGCAAGAACAATTTAGTGTACGGGGGTCGGTGTCAAGAGGGCAGAAAAAAGGCAAAATACCAGAGCTTTTAGATCATCGCTTGCAATAGCAAAGAGAGCGAGAGAGAACAGGTTAGTGAGTGCGCGAGAGTAGTGCGTAGACATGCATGCAGCCTCATGTTGCGTCTCTATATCAGTACTGCACCACATTGCAGGCTGGCTGACGAAACTCGAGACAGACTGTATTTTTGCATACACAGAAT